AAGAAGCAGCTTCAACCGAAAAACAAGCAGTGAAGACCTTGAATTTGTTGCAATAGAAATGCAGCGTGATAGAAACTCCCACAAATGCAGGCTGTTCCTTGCAAATAACACTTTGTTACCACTGAGGATGGAGAGCAAACATTCCCCTACTTATCCACCCTCCAGAGAAGCGGCAGGTCATGTTCTCTCCAGATGCAGCAGGGAAAGCAGAAGCCACCACGTCACCTCTGCTGCAGTCCCAGCACAAGAGTGACAGAGAGACACAGCCCTAAGTCAGACACAGGCAGGAACTGCAGTTTCTTGTTCTCTTTGCAACTCCTTCCCTTGACCAGCGCTGGTGCTTGCACAACCACACCGTGAGTCACAGCAAGAAGTGATCTGGCTCAAAACTACATCTATATTTTTCGGGACTAGCTCAGTTTCCAGCTAACGAAACTCCCCAACTGACCTCAACATCTAAAAGCGCAAATATCAGAGCAAGGGGGAAAATGAAACTGCATTTGGTGACCATGAAACCAGAGCCTGAAGCTCTGACTGCTGGAGATCCCCCTGCATCTCACCCTACCAAGAGACACAACACGACAGGCTCTGAGCAACAGGCAGGGCCACGTGCTCATCGAGACGTCTGAGGGTGCTGGGGTAAAACCAAACTCCCACCACGAGTTTCCAGAACATACCTGCCTCATCCACCAGCAGCTTTCGTCAAGCATTCTCAATTTTTTCTTCTTCTAACAACACTGGTCTTAACAGGCACGAAACAACTACTTATCACATCACATATAACTTGAAAAATCACTTTTTTTGCACATGGAAATCAAGCATTCTCAATTTCCTCTTCTTCTAACAACACAGGGTACACTGGTCTTAACAGGCACGAAACAACTACTTTACACATCACTTGAAAAATCACTTTTTTTGCACATGGAAGACACTATCTACTACCTGCTCTGCCCTCTCGGGACTGTCAGCCACAGTAAATCCATGCTGACCTTGGAGGATGCTTCTTCACAGCCTGCTCGGACACCTGAGCAAAAGCAAATCAACTCAAAGCACACTCGGCTGCAGCCCCAGAGCTCACATTAAAGCCATTTAATTTACTCTTGTAGATGCTTTCAGTCCTAGTGATAATCTACGAAATACAAATAAACCACCATTTTTTATATACTATAACCAGATTCCTCCTAAACATTTTACATTGCTGGATGAAACGCTGTGCTGAATGCCAGGTTTACTAACTAAACCCTAAAAAGCATATTATTTGCATTTTTAAAAAACCAAGGGCATGGCAAGGAAAACCAGCACTTATGCTAAGATCTTGTCTATTTTATGAATCAGCAGCAACCATACATTCTGCAGAGCTTGTTTAAGTATAACTCAAGAAATCTAAAGGAGAAAGGAAAAAACTAGATGCATCTAAGGAGTCTACATCACTTCTTATGATACAGGCTTGTTTTGCAGAGAATCACTCCGGGGGAACACCAGGCCATGGGTGAATACAGCTGCAGTCTCCTTCCAACCTGCAGCTTTGGCCTCCTTTATCCTCTCCACACTCCTGATCCTAGGGTAAAATCCAAGGAGAAACCTGTTTGAGATGTGCACTTTTTAGGGCATTAATTTATAAGCAGAGAGCAGTCTAGGAACCCGAATAATCTCAAATCCTGGCTGACACCAGGCTTCAGAACCGCAGCAAATAACACAAAACACCCCACACAAGTTTTAGCGTCTGAACAAGACAGACTGGACCAAACAGGACAGCTCTTCAAGATTAACTTTTCTTCCCAACTTTCTAACATCCTTACTTATCCTGGCCATTAGGTGTCATGTTTCCAGGATCAGAAGCTTTTGCAAAGTGCAAACACAAACACCCAAGTAAAAATTGACACTGGGATTTATGAGCAACCCTTTAAGAAGATGCTTTCATTAAAATTCTGTTTAATTTCCTATTACCTTTTAAATAAAAGAGTAAAAGCAAATCAGTAACTACTTCAGAGCTCAGTGTAAAACGAATTCAGGCTGTACTCTAACCACCATCCCCACTATCTCCTCTTTAAAAAACAAACCAAACAAAACCCACCTCAAATCAAGGCCAAAAAAAAATAAAATTCAAACACAACCCCAGGACTTGACCAAGTTTTAAAAAGGTCTCTCTTGAATCTGCTTCCACAGAATTGAACACACAAAGCTACCAGAAGTGTTTGACGTTTAACATTAATCTGGCTCATCAGAAGTGAACAGAACACAGTAAAATAGGAAGTCTCCCATATTATCCTCAAAGAAATTTTGATCCGGATCCCCGGCAGCCCGAGCCCAGCCACACTCTCCTCAGCTGCTTCCAGAGAGGTCACAAGTAACACCAGAGCAAGGGCAGCTCTGAACTTCAGCTACAAGTGAAAAACTTTTCAAATCCAAAATGTAAAGATTTGAATTTTATGTCCATTCAAAAGATTCACTTCCTTTTCTCTTGTATAAACCGATGACACGTCCCTGTTCTCAGAATATCAGGATTTCTCTTTAAGATGATTTTTTTGAAGTCGCTGTGAAGTTGCACAGAAGCAATCTATTCTCTGAACACTGAGTACAAGTTCAAAGTGCCACAGAGCACACTGGGCACGTGCACAGTACAAAACCACTGCAACTATAGAACAAACAAATGTTTAGAGTTGTTTATGCCTAAGACTATGATTCAATATACAACTACAGAATATTAGGATTTCTCTTTAAGATGATTTTTTTGAAGTCGCTGTGAAGTTGCACAGAAGCAATCTATTCTCTGAACACTGAGTACAAGTTCAAAGTGCCACAGAGCACACTGGGCACGTGCACAGTACAAAACCACTGCAACGTATAGAACAAACAAATGTTTAGAGTTGTTTATGCCTAAGACTATGATTCAATATACAACTAAAACTTTTATGTTAGAGTACATCCACATGTTACACTACTGTAGACTATGTCCACATTACACTACTGCTATCTAATTACAGCTCGATTTTTTTAAGACCAGTCCTTGGACTGGATGAAGGGCCACAAAATATATCACAAACAGGCTATGACTGTATTTGCAGCTTATGGTTTCAAAGGTAAACCATTTTGATAAACTGCGTAAACACGAGTCTCCAAATAAAAGCATTAACGTGTCACTGGAATTACACTGTGCTTGTAGTTTAGTCCGTTTGGCACAGAGTCCTCTTAAAATCTTCAGCAAAGCTACTTACCCTGAAAAGGGCCACACCAGAGCCTGGACACGTGATGACAGAGCCCCAGCTCTGCTTCCTGCCCGTCCCCACAGCGGCGGCTCTCGGCTCTGCCACCACCACTTGGTCCCACTGGGTGCCATCAAGGTTCCTTCACACCACACACAGCCCCTTGAGCGGCCCAACTACACCCTCCGGACACACACTCTCCCGTGGTTAAAAAGGCCATAGGAAGTATCGACTTTTAAGAAGAGCAACTCACTTTTCCGTGGCTGATCTTAGCGCGACAGAGCACACACACTCCTCTCCTCCTGGGGCGTAGAAAACACTGCGCATGAAAACAGCTTATTTTTAGCAGCAGCGTATGCGAGCGCAGCGCTTCCTGTCGACTCCACCTTGAAGAACGACATACTCGTTCTCGTGTCCAAAACTAGGATTTCACAACTTCTGCTGCCCAGGACAAGAGGGAGGAGGAAGGGACAATCTGCTGAAAGCTGCCAGTGACAACTGCCCCGTTTCTAACTCGGCATCAAAAACTTGTGCTGGAGTGTGTTGTCAGTCTTCGGGCAATCACGCCAAAAAAAATCAATGCCGTTTTTTTCTGCCACAACGATGAACAGAACATTAAATGTTTTTATTTATTACTCTGATCTTTTCCATAGCAACAGGATGTGAGCACGGCATTCCCAGCGTAATGAAGTCACTATAGCAACGTGATAATGATGTCAGAATAATCAGACAGCGTTTCATACTTGGGGACATGGTGAACTCCACCGCTTCTATAAATTAAAAGAGGCGCAGATATCACAAAGGCAAGGGAGCTCCATCTAGAACCTCCCCATAAGTTGCCTCATTTGAGATAACTTCTCGCTAACGGCAGAGACTTCGACTGCTAACGCGCTGCTTTCTGTTTCTCCACAGCTTCCTCTGTTACTGCCCAGAAGTTTCACGAATTTCCACGTTAAAGCCCTTGCAGAATCCCAGGGCTCCGCTAGCACCAGAGAGAGTTAATGACGGACCGTTTCAGTCAGAAAAAGCAATGACAAAGCTCCCACCAGTGAAACATCTGACGGCAGGCAGCCACGCTCCGCTCCGCAGCCGCTTTCCTCAGCTCTTCAAATAGCCTGGTGTCTCTTTTTACGCCGAGGAATACTACCACTCAGACAGAAATGCAAAAGCAACAGAAATTACAGAGTGCCGATACGATACTCCAAAGGCAGACAGGCGTTTTCAAGTCAAATGACTATTTTAAGAAATATTATCTCCCTGTTAAGCTACTGAAGAGGAAAAAAAATACGGAGGCTTCATAGTTTGCCCTTCCTGTTTGCAGCTCTTTCCAAGTTGTGTGCAAAGCAAAAACCCAAGCACCAATTCCAGTTCTGTGTCGGTCGGTATCGCCCAAACCCCAGCCCTCCGGCTGCGGCACAAAAACCCCTGCACGAAAACCACCCGCAGCTCAAATATGGCAGGCAAAAGGGGCTAATTAACGAGAAGTACCTAAACGCAAAAGTTTCCCTGCACGGAGAAGAGTTTCTCTTTAAACTGCCTCTTTCAAGCGACTGAAGGAAGTGCAAGAAACCACCTCAGAGATGAAGTGGTCAGAGACAGGCCGGGAGGATGAGGATGGACCAGCGCGTTGCCCCGTCGTGGCTTGTGCTGAGAACACCAGGCTGTCCCCACGGCCTGGCTCGTCCCCCCTGCCCAAACCCCCCCTGCCCAAACCCCTGCCTGGGACAGAGAAGTGGGGCAGGGGAAGGCTGGCCCTCGCCCGGCCCTCCCCGCCCTCACGCCCCGCTCTCCCGGTACCTCCATGCTCTCCAGGCCGCCAGCGCCCGAGCCTCCGTGCCCCGTTACACCGCGGGGAGCGGCGCACACCCGATCGCCCCGAACACCAGAGGAATTTTGGCGATTTCCAGCCGCCCGGCGAGACCCTGCGCTGCGCCCAAGGGCCGACCGCCCCCGCCTCGGCCCCGCCGGCCGCCCGGCGCCTGCCCGCCCTCCCTCACCGGCGGGGCCGCACAAGATGGACGATGTC